GTGGTGGGAGAGCACTCTCCTACTGCCATAAAAAACATCCTGCAATTAACAGGGTTAGTTGTCCACACCAGTGCTTTTGTCATTGAAAAGTATGTCTGTCAGAACCGTTCCTCCCCCTTCTCCTCCCATACACACACATCTCTGACCAATAAAAGTTTGACCAACAGAAGTGGTAGCGTAGACAAAGCCTAAGAGGAGAGTTCCACCAAGCCAATGAGAGCTACCAGAAAAGTAAAAGACAAATAAATGCTTTTCTTGGGAAATGTAAGAAAATGTAACTCTTCATAAGCCAGTGGAGGAGATACTGAGATGAGATCAAATGGATGGAGAAGCACAATCAAGTTTTGGCAGCATTTCTCTCAAACTGGGAGCCTTAAGCAGGTTAGTGGTGTTTAGAAAATTTGTCTCTAGTGTGATTACTACTCATCCTTTTCAGACACCCACCACCACCACCTAACTCCCCATGTTAGCCTTCAGAAGTATCTTTCACTGCACAGACATTCAACAGCTCATCACAATGCAAGGCTGTTATCTCCTTCAGTGGTAGCTTTCCCCACAGACTTCAATCAGAACCTTAAAAAAAAAAGTGTCCATTCAATCTGAAATCTAGTTATTTTCATTCAACACCCCACTCCCTATTTGAAGTGTCCGTATATCCCCATCTCCTTTGTGAAAGCTCTAAGCAAAAAAATAAAACTACACAGGGGAAACAGTGAAACTGACGAGACAAGCAGCACTATCAAAAGCACAACCTACACAAACTGAAAGAGAAATGTTTTTTAATCTCTCCCAGCTGCAATAATCTTGTGTTACAAGTTGAAATATTAGACAAATGTAGTTTAAGTTCATAGTGTCTTTAATGAGGAACTAATAAACTGCTGCCTGCAATGTGCCACCTGTTGGCATCGAGTCAAGTGTACAATAGAATTTACGTTCTTAGTAGTTTGCATGCCAGAACATTCACTGCCTCCATTTTCTCTTGTAGAGGAGGGTACTAAATTATCATTGATTAGGTTTGAAAGACTAACATCCTATTGAGATGAACAAGGCAGCTCAGACTTATTTATTTTTAATTGGGTACATTAAGTCCTGCAGAAGACAATGGGAATTCCAATCAGTCAATTTTTGGAAACCTTTGTGACCTTTAAAAACATTTGGGATCAAAGCAATAACTGAAGGACACACTCTCAGAATGTTTCTTTCCAACTGTTAGTTCCTGAAATTGTTACTGAAAAGAGCAACCGCAATATTCAGGAACAAGTAACTAACACAATACTACTTTGTTTTGTGACTTAACATTACCTTTCTACAGTGCTAGTACATCTGTCACATGTTCCCAAGCCCATCTTTCTAATTTAAGCAACTCAGTCTCATTTAGTAGGTCCAGCTATCCCTCAGATAACTGTTCTAGACCCTAGGCCAGCTTATTATTCTACAAAATAGTTGGATGTCTTTAATAAAGAGTGGAATGACCTGGGCCTTGCATGGAGTCAATTTCTATCTACTCTTTAAAACAATCTTTAATATTTACAGACTGAACAGCAGATCATATACATACAAAAGAATGTTTTAAGAGTTCATTTGAAACAGCTTTGACTAAGAAGATTCAAGTCGTAATACACAAATTAAACACAGTTTTTAAAAGCTGCCATACAAATCTAGTTACCACTTTTAAAGAAAGTTGGGAAATGGTTTCAATTGTTTATAAATGAACAGCAGTTGCTCTGAGCTGTAAAAATAATGGAGACACTGAAATTTTCTATCCTACTACCTACTGTGCAGCCTTACTTAGAGCAATCCGTGCCGGTAGTTAGCCCAGGACACTGTCGTAGTTAGTCCAGGATACTGTCACGGTATGGCAGCAAATGATTTATGTTAAAAAAATGTGGATGCCATGGAAAGTTTTTAGAAGAAATAAAATTATAATGCTGCAGATTAGAAATGCCCTACGAAAATTATAATGCTAATTCAGTTACCATCATAGACATTGGGGTAGGTATAGAAATTGCTAAATATCTGTTACATGTCCTACGGATAAAACATGACTATAACTGTATGAATACCATGATGAATATTGCCCTTATATCTTAAAATGCAATATAATTGCCCTGTAATTTTAGTCTTATGGTAATATAGATCAAGTAAGTAACCATGTGACCTTGATGCTTTTACAATCTTTTCTGTATGGGCAGGTTCAACTTAACATGCTAAGCCCTGTCTGTCATCAACTCTGTACTTGTCCCATCCTCCAACCCAATTAACAAAACCAACCCAAGTGAAATCAGAAGCAGGTTTTTTTTTTCCCAAAGCCACCCTCAGTCAGTTGCTTTTATTACAATTAATACTGACCATGCTGTTATTCCAACATTATGCTTATAAATCCTAGACACTTTGTACAGTTTATGAAGTGCAATCAGCTATTCCAACGCTGATCCGGATCGGGACTGATGCAAATGGCAGCTCCACCCTCCTCTGTGGCTTCAAAGCTAATCTTTTCCCTGGTGCATTCCCGGA